AAAAAAAAAGCCAAACGTACAGCCCTGCTCAGGGGATTCCTCTAACTGCCAGTGAGACTTCTGCTCCTCTCAGCAGGTATTCTGCTCCACTCCTCATCAGCAAACTGCTCCAGTTGTGTCAGGTTTGAAGCCTTCCTTTTCAAGACGGCATGTTTCGACTCATTTCTAAAAATGCTCAATTGATTTAGATCACGGCTCCTAGAGGTTAACCTGACTCCGCCAGATGGATTTGCTCCGCATATCCATCTGGAAACCTTCCATTGAATTAATTTTGGGAAGGGGCGAAAATACTGGTTGGCCTATGTTGGTGATAGACGGGCCAAATAAACCAATCAGATCAACGAAGCATATGACGTACTAACAGAGCGACGACGAAGAGGAGCCAATTGTTAGATCAAACTCTTGCCGAACCAGTCGGGAGAAGAGCAAAAACATCTTTTCCTCTGAGAAAAGCCTCCAGAGCAGTGTTTTGCTCTTCTTTCAGTGAAGAAATATTCCGATAAAACTTGCTCTATAGCCACGCTAACGCTAGTTTCATCGGCTGAAGCCGCCATGCTCTTTAGACTGAACTGTCAAGCTTCTCGTTGCGTCACACCTCCAAAACGCCTCAAAGCCAACGCTGATTGGACGTTCGTTTGGTGAACTGCTCCAAATTTTCTTTAACGGAAAGTAGCCAGACTGATCGGCGAGTTAAACCTTGAAAGCTTGCGAGATCAGGATGGTCTCACAAGGCTAGTGAAGACCATGACTGTTGGTTCAAGGAATTGCATGAAATTTTATTATCTTCGCACAATTTCAGCGACTGCGGATAATGACGTCCTTGAATCTGTCATGCTGGCTAAAAAGCTAATTGACTCTTACGAAGAGGAGCCAATTGATAGATCAAACTCTTGCCGAACCAGTCGGGAGAAGAGCAAAAACATCTTTTCCTCTGAGAAAAGCCTCCAAAGCCTTCAGTGAAGAAATACTCTGTAATTCCGATAAAACTTGCTCGATAGCCACGCTAACGCTAGTTTCGTCGGCTGAAGCCGCCATGTTTTTTAGACTAAACTGTCGCGCTTCTCGTTGCGTCACACCTCAACCCGCCTCAAAGCCAACGCTGATTGGACGTTCGTTTGGTGAACGGCT